CAACTCAAGTAGAAAGAAAATGTTTTGAGAATGATGATGGCAACAAAGGTATAAATGTGCTTGACACGATGGATGCATGTATGGATTATGATAAGAGTTGTGATATGAGCCCCCAATAAAACGATTAAAAAAAAAAACCTCTAGACTATAACCCTTATTTAGCCTTCAGGCCTGGACCTGAACTTACCCTCAAGGTGTAATTGGCAGCCACACCACCAGTCTCTGTGGGTAACAATAACACTAGGGAGGTATGCACATCTTCCATCACTCAACCTTGGATATCAGAGGGGCAGCATTTGCCCAAGGACAATGTTCAGGATACAGGAAGGGCTAGGAAAGAAAGAATGGAAGCAGGAAACACAGGGAGGAAGTAGGATAAGTAAGTGATGTCACACTGTGGGAATTACAATCCATGACATGAAACAAAATGTGTATGACTTAATTGAATGGAAAACACGCAAAGCAGCAGCAACAACAAAAAGCAAAGGAACAAAGCCTTGTACGAGTGATTGCTATTTGGGGGACAGTCCCTGAGTCATGGGGATCCCATGCACAACTGAATGAAAGGCAGCTTGATCCTTTGGGCTCCCCTCTCCTAGGCCATCCCACAGACAGTTACAGAGTGGACCACTGCAATCTATCGGTGATTCATCGGCTGATTCTCAGAAGTAGATCACTAGACCTTTCTTCTAAAGCTAGTTGGTCTTAGTCTGGAAGATCCCCTGAAAGTTGCTCAATATCATAACAACAGCCAAACTTCCAGGACAGGGTGGTTAGGGTACCACCTTGGTGGAGGTGCATAAGCAGAGACTTGAAGCGGGTTGTCCGACACGGAGTGAGCACAGCTCTGTGTACAAGTACTTCGCATGGGCGAGAGCCTGTAATCAATGGTTTGGGCATATTATCTCATGTCATCTCACAACCACCATGGGAGGTGATTACTAAGTTTTCCAGATGGGGAGGCTGAGGCTCTGAGAGGAGCCATAACTTTCCCAAGCTGATGGCTAAGTAGCAGAAGCAGAAGCCTATATCGACAACGCCTCGGACTGCCTCTCTCCAGGGATGAGCCTGCACACATGGGCCCAGGGCCAGTTCTGTGATCCAAGACAACACAGCCCAAACCACTTCTCTCATCTGCCAACTCATCAACTCCTTACACAGTTTTAGGATCTAGAAAAATAAAGGTTTATCGTCTTTGTCATTCAAAGTTGGCTAGAATGAAACCCCATTCTTCCCATCTCTGTCCTCTCTGAGCACACTAGCCTTGTTTCTAACAGGCATACAAACTCTAGGGGGAGACACTCCGAAAATGGTCAGATGTGTATTTTGAGATTCTCTGAAAGATTTCTTCAGTCCAAAGGAACTTGTTCTTCAACAACCAGCTGGATGAAGTGCTTTGCGGCCATCATTTTGAAAATATGCTTTCAGCCATCAAGTATAACAAACCCTATGGATATTTGGCTGCACGAAGATCCTACAACACCAGAAAGAAACACGAGTTGTGTTCATTTCTCCAGATGCTGAGCATGGATAGACCCGGTCTGCCTGGAACCTGAGGAATCCTTTGCCTACAGTTGAGCGGCTCGATCGGGTTTCTCTGCTGGCCTCATGCTGCCCTTGGACATCTCATCCACCAGACAGACCTGTTCTTACTGCTGAATTATAGCCTCATTTTCCAATGTCTACATTCTTTTTTCATTAGCCACCTCAGCAGCTGTAGTTTGGGTTGCTCAGCCTTCGTTTGGGTTTCAGTAATTCCTCTCAGTTACATGGCCCTTGGTCAATCCCTACCAGGCCCCCTACATTGTCCTCGCCCCTGATTTTGGATCACTTGTTGTTCCCTTGTCCCTGGGTTTGTTAACACCTACGTCCTTTCCTCTCCCTCCCTCTCTCCCATGTCCCCCAGCCTCCACCCCGGAACTGTGGATCCTGTTGTTTTCTTCTCCAGATTGTTTATCCAGCCAATCTTATCTAGATAGACCTGCAGAGATAACAATATGCACAAAAAATAAGACAGAGCAAAACAAAGCAACAAAACAGCAACAAGAAAACAATGACAAAAAAGAGAGAAAATCCTGTAAATAGTCAAGGTCTGTTTGTTGACCTATAGGAGTGTTTTCTGGTTGAGTCTGATGGGGTGCCAAGCACTGGCCCCAAAGTCTATTTTTTGCTGTTCCTTTGGGACTTCCTTGCTCTGCCCCCCTTGCTGTTCTGTTGCACGCCCTTAGGGTCTTGCCTCGGTGTGGTGGGGTCAGATCGGGTGCAATTCCCACACTGCCTCCAGTGTTGTCCCCTGTAGGGCTATGGGTCAGTGAACGATGTCCTGTGTCATAGTGGGGCCGGCCGTATGGTCCTCTAAAGAGACACAAATCTTGTGGGCACCCGGATTGGCTTGGGCCAGGCTTCAACCACAGCTTTCCTCGTAGATGGCTGTTCTTTCACAGCTGACCTCTACAGTCTTGCCAGGTGGCCTTGCGCACAGTTATGTCCACTGAGCCATCAGAACAGCCTGCTCTTCAGATCTCCACTGGTCCCCAGTCCACATTCATGCATGTGGAGATGGTCTGGGACTTAACTAGGAGACCTTACATCTTGCTGGCTGGCCCTGGGTGTGTATTGCTCAGCTTGTGCTTATCCTCGGCAATCACACATCCCTAGAACAATCGAGTCTCCAGCTGCTATGTGCTCTGATCCCATGTCCATGTGTGTCAGAGTAAAGTTATGCTCCAGAGGGTTATCAATAACTAATTTGGGGGCGGGGGGATAGATCACTAAGCCTTTTTCCCCAGGTGATTCTGATAGGCTCGAACCAGCAGCCTCTGTGTTCACAGTAGAATGTTGACACTGTGGCCCAGGGACTCTCTTCCAACTCTAGCCTGATGCAAATGTCTATAGGCTTCGGGCCAGCCCGGTGGCTCCCTCTGATCTCTTGGACCTGACCATGTACATGCACTCCAACCCTGGACAGGCAACACACAAGTCCCAACAGTGACAGCTGTAAAGTCTATAGTCCTACAGAAGGACATTATGTAAAATAGAGGGTCGGTAAAAGTGAGGCGCCCTGGTGGCATACTGGTTATGAGTTGGGTTGCTCCTGCAAGAACAGCAGCTTGAAACCACCAGCCACTCTGCAGGAGGAAGATGAGGCTCTCTCCTCCTGTGAAGATTTACAGCCTCGGAAACCCCCAGGGGCACTTCCACCCTGCCCTATAGTGTCTATATAGAACAGAGTGTGTGTGTGCGTGTGTGTGTTCGGAATCACTCGATGGCAGTGAGTGTTAAAAAACAAGGAAACCCTTCAAAGAGAGAGAGTGGCTACAGCAATGGACTCAACAATCCTGAGGAAGGCGCAGGGCTTGGGCAGTGTCAGTGTACAGGAGTCGTACGTGAGAAATGACGTGACACAGAGCAAGCCCTTTTCACATATGGCGACAGCTTAGTAAAACTGGCTGAGCCCTCCTTCTGACCTTAGCCCATTTTCTTCTTGAAAAAGGTGGCCAACATCCTAACATTCAAGTATGTTGTTTTCTGGAAACAAACAAGCTTGAATATTCTTTTTAGTGAACTTTGGGAAAAGTCTTTTTTGTTGTTATTGAGACAAGTTAACAGGGCTGGCCAAATCCCCACCTCACCCCCATTCCCTTCTCTCTGCCTTTCTGCTAGCCCATCTCACTGCAGTATACCAGTATATAGTATACAATATACCAGTATACAGTATGCAGTACACAATATACAGTATGCAGTATACAGTATAGCAGTACACAGTATACAGTATACAATATACCAGTATACAGTATATAGTATACCAGTATACAGTATGCAGTACACAGTATGCAGTATACAGTATAGCAGTACACAGTATGCAGTATACAATATACCAGTACACAGTATACCAGTATACAGTATACAGTATACCAGTATACAGTATATAGTATACCAGTATGCAGTATACAGTATGCAGTACACAGTATGCAGTATGCAGTATGCAGTACACAGTATGCATTACACAGTATACCGGTATACAGTATGCAGTACATAGTATGCCAGCATACAGTACACAGTATGCAGTATACAGTATGCAGTACACAGTATGCAGTATACAGAAGAAGGGACTCAACCGTCACCCACGCAAATGACAGCATTTGTGATATACATTGTGGTTGGCAGTGTCCTGTTGAAATGGTCTCTGGACTGTCTGAAGGAAATGGAAATTGACTGATGCTTAAACAATGATCCATGTATGCATTTCAACAAGCAGAGCAGCCTACCAGAACAGCTTCATACAACTGCCGGATACCCCCAGCAGCCACCACCCCACCCATAGGTGACCTTCAGGGGCAAGATCTTGAGCCAATGACGGAGCCCAACTACGTAAGAGCGATGGCCCTGAATAAATTTTGCTCACTAATTTTAGAAGCCTCTGAAGGGACCATTGTGTTGGTACCTAATTAATGTGGCCCTGTTATTTTCTTGAGAACCCCCACCTACCTGATGAATAAACACACTTTTTCCCACAGGAACCTTGAGGGCCCAAGCAACCCTTTCAGGCAGGCAGCACTTCTCCTGATTATGCGTAGTCAGCAAGACGCAAGATCCATTTCTTATAATGTTTACTGGGGCACAGCGCCCCCAGTAACAAAGTGTGGATACAATGAGGGGTGTTAGAGCCCACACATTAAGCATGCAGGGGCTAAGATGCAAGCTTATATCTGTCTGATTTCAAAGTCCATGCTTCTAAGTTATTCATCAGGGAAAACTATACTTACTCTATTTTTAACAATTACAGTGTAAACTTAATGGTTTTTATAGTATATGAGCAAAAGGATGATATATAATAAACATGAATGTATTAAAACAATACATTTAAAATTTCATAACGTGAAAAACAGTTAATCTCACAATTAAAGAAGACAATCTTAAGGAATCAGTTGTTTGGATAATGAGGTTTCCTGCCTAAAAGGTCTGAAAATTCTCAACTGGCCCTAATCAAGAAATATGGAATGACACACATCAGAACACAACGGCATTCAAAACCACACCTGGAAAGGCTAAATTGAAAGAGGAAACACGAGGCCCTCTTACTTGATACAAATCAAGAACAAGCCTTTGCTATTACTCAGTAAAGCAGTAGAAAAATAGAATTTCATTAGACCTCATCCTGCCCACAAAAAGCAAAGTAACTACTCTTGTAACTTCAAAATATACCAACTATATAATTTCTGATTGTTTAAAATGCAAAAGTTTTCCAAGCAAAAGAGGAACATTGACACTTATCTTTCTCCCAGTCCCAACCTCAACCCCAGCCGATTCTTCTGGTAAAGAAACACATT